AAGGCAATTTATCTTAAGATACTGTAAACGATACTAATTTTTTTGTCCATTTAAAATATATAAGTTGTGCTATAACAAATCATCCTGTCAAGTGTAACCACTGTCCACATAGTTGAACTTCTGGGATCAAGAAAGTATATTTAAATTGGTTCCCATCATAACTGGTGGGGCACATCTAACTCAACTGTGAAAAGACACATCACACAATCACCTTGCTGCTGATTACATGGCCTGGGGTCTCTGCCTTCTCCCCTTCTCCCCCTGCCTCCCTCCCTGCCTCCCTCCCTCCCTCCCTGCAACAGCCCTCCAGCTTGGGGTGGCTTGCTAGAGTAGGTGTGAAGGTTTCAGGTCACAGCCTGTGGGACTACTGCTGGGTGTGTGGGGGTGCTCCAGCTGCACCCCTGCTTTTTTTAAGTCTTAAATGATGCCCCCCCCACGCCCCCTCCCCCAAGCCATTGTCCCTTCTTCACTTTCCACCACCACCCTTGGCCGAAGCATAGATTGTAACCCCCTCTGCTCCCCTCTGAAATTGGCCTTTGGTGAGGAATTCAGGGCTCTCCCCATATCTTCTCCCCCACCTTAATCGAGGGGTGCCGCTTTTTCCTTCCTCCTCCTCAACTCCCTTTTTGTACCGTCACCACCCAACACTTTCCACAATACTTCCTTGCTTTGGCCAGAAGCCATCAGGTAAGGTTGGAAAGAGTCTCTGACTTCCCTCGTTTAGTTTTGGAACCCCATTTACTCACTCTCCACCAGCCTGGGAATGAATATTGGGTCCTCAGCCCTGCCACCCTCTGCTGTCATCGTCAGCTGATGCGGTTTTTTAGCTCAGGTTTTGATAAAGTGAAAAGAACAGTCACCAGGGGTACTCACACCTGCCAGCTCTCAAAGTTCCTGGTGGTTAAACTTGGAGAAAGGCCACAGAAGACACTTGTAAGCACCCACGATCCCTCTGAATGAATTTCTTTTCCTGTAATTGCTTTTGCTTTTAAAAATTGAAGAAGTTTTACACAGGGTTCTCATGTGGTCATCTTGCAATCCGTTTGGGTCTAGTTTGGAATGTGGCAACTGGAACAAAAAGAACCTTGAATTCGGTGCACACTTCGGTTTTGGTGCTGCTGTTTCTCACGGTCCTCAGCAGGAATTAAAAAAGAACTCGGTGTGCACAGCAGATCCCTGAAATTGGCGGGCTTGACTTCCTGGCAAATCGCTGCGTTTTTCCACCTTTCTGTTCAGGACCACTAAATGCTGAGATGTGGATGCATACCGAAATAAAAGCGATTCACTGTGTTAAAAAAAAAGTAAACACATCATACTGTTAAGGTAGCTTGAAATGGAGAAAACAATTCAGAGTTATTGCACATCCAGAACCCAAGAAGAAGGCAATTAAAGAGGTGTCTGACCCTGGGAATAACATTGATTCAATCAAGAGTGACTAGCATAATAGGAACAAATAGTCTACCTCTCAGATGAGTAGTAGTGAAACAATATAAAATTAATGGAATGAAGTTAGGTATATTTGAGAAAATGAGTGATTTTCATAGGATAATTGTTGATGGCACAGAGTATCAAGCAGGCTTTTTGTTGTTGTAGAAATAACAGCTGATTCTATACTTTATATGGAAACTCACAGGACTTAGAAAGGCTAACCCAATCTCAGAGAAGACCAAATCTGGAGGGCTTCCTCTGATTTCGAGACTAAGCCAAGTGAGACAGAGTGGCCTTGGTGTAAGGATAGCTAAGTAGATCAACAACTAGATATTCCCTGAGTTTGAGCCCTGCACGGGACTCTGTGCTGACAGAGCAGAGCCTGCCTGGGATTCTCTCCTCTCTCTGCCCCTCCCCCGCTGATGCTGTCTCTCTCTCAAAATAAACAAACATTAAAAAAGAAAAAAATTAACAAGACTGACAATACTGAATGTTGTGAGAGTGTAAACTGATGCTCTCCTACATTGCTGGTGGAGTATAAAATGGGACAGCCATTCTGCAAAACTGGCAGTTCTTACAAAAACATAATCTATGACCCAGCAAGTCCACTCCCATGTATATAGTGAAATGGGTTCACAGAAAGACTTGTACGCAAGAGTGAATGTAAATGGCAGCTTTCTTGCATAACTGTCTCCAAACTGGAAACAACCCAGATGTCCATCAACAGGAGAATAAACTGCGATGTACTTAGAAGTCAAATATTACCTAGCAATTAAAAAAACAATTGATACACAAAACAGCATGGATGGTTCTCAAGAACATTATGCTGAGTGAAAGATGTAAGACATAAAAGAGTACAAGATGTTTTTCAAAAAATTGTTGACGTTCATTTTTGAGAGAGAGACAGAATGTGAGCAGGGACAGAGAAAGAGGGAGACACAGAATCCAAAGAAGGCTCCAGGCTTTGAGCTGTCAGCACAGAGCCCGATGCGGGGCTCAGGGCTTGAACCCAGGGCTTGAACCCACGGGGCTTGGGGCTCGAACCTGTGAACGATGAGCCATGAGATCATGACCTGAGGCAAAGTCAGACGCCGACTAAGCCACCCAGGCGCCCTCTAAAATGAATTTCAAGAATAGGTAAAACTAACCTATGTGATAGAAGTCAGGATAGGAATCCCCTGTTTTCTTTTACCTGAGAGAAGCTCTCTGGAGTGCTGGAAATGTTCTATCTTTGAACTGGTGGTGGTTACATAGGCTTTGCTTTTAAAATATCTGCATTTTGCTGTATATAAACTACACATACCTTCAATAAAGAAAATAGGAAAAACTGAAACTATAGATTATTTGGAAATTTTTAAGAAAAAAAAACCCACTTCATATGAAACTCTATTGGACACAGTTAAAGCCATACTCAGAGGAAAATGCATAGTCATTAATATTTTGATTACCGGGGCGCCTGGGTGGCTCAGTCAGTTGAGCGTCCAACTTCTCCTCAGGTCATGATCTCTGGGTTCACAAGTTCGAGCCCCGCATCCGGCTTGTGCTGACAGCTCAGAGCCTGGAGCCTGCTTCAGATTCTGCTTCAGATTCTGTGTTTCCCTCTCTCTCTTCCCCTCCCCCACTCCTGCTCTGTCTCTGAAAAATAAACAAACATTAATATTTTGGTTACCAAAAAATACTAAAAATAAACTATTTAATTCAATAAACTATTACACTAATAAGGTAAAAATAGTATTAATAAAGAGGAAAGTCGAAATTAAGGAAGTAGAAAATAAAACAGTAGAAAAATGAGTAAAAGAAAATGATATTTCTTTGAAGATAGGAATAAAATAAAGCAAGGAATAGGTTTAGCAAATACCTGGGCGCCATCAGTGGTTCCTGTGATTTTTGTCTTGAAACTTTGGTGCTCTCCTAACCGTGGGATTTGGTGCCGTTCACTCATTTACTAAATTTAAAAAGACAATCTGTTGAGGGGCCTGGGTGGCTCAGTCAGTTGGATGTCTGACTCTTGGTTTCCGCTCCAGTCATGATCTCTTGGTTCGTGGGCCCCAGCCCCCGGGACGGGTCTGCGTTGGGAGTGCGGGGCCTGTTTGGGATAATCTCTCTCTCTCTTCCTCTGCCTCTACCCCCCCCCCAACTTGCGCTATCTCAAAATAAACA